TTACGTGCGGGGCCCGATTCGGCCGAATCAGCTGAATCGGCTTGAGGCCGGCCCTGCTTGAGACCTTGCTTGACCGTGCTGGTGGATAGGAGTTTTGGCATTTCTTGGCATCGCGGGTGGTTCTTAAGTCAGGAGGAGAGGATCGAAGAGGATAAAGTCTGGGCCAGATCAGACGAAAAACATTCACATGAAAAAGAATCTGACATCAGAAAAGGGCAGACAAATAAACAGTGACAAGTTTTTAAAGTGCTTGTACACAAATGCTAGAAGTCTAAAAAATAAGATGGGTGAACTGGAGTGCCTCATGTTAACGGAGGATACTGGTATAACAGGCATCACAGAAACCTGGTGGAGTGAGGACAATCAATGGGACACAATCATTCTGGGGTACAAAATATATCAGAAGGACAGAACAGGTTGTGCAGGTGGGGGTGTGGCACTATATGTGAAAGAAAATTTAGGATCAAATGAAGTAAAAATTTTAAATGAATCAACATGTTCCATAGAATTGCTATGGATAGTAATTCTCTGCTCTAATAAGAATATAACCATAGGGATCTATTATCAGCCACCTGACCAGGACAGTAATAGTGACTATGAAATGCTAAGGGAGATTAGAGAGGCTATCAAAATAAAGAACTCAATAATAGTGGGGGATTTCAACTATCCCCATGTTGACTGGGTACGTGTCAAGTATACTATATCTACTGGATCCCCCTTGTCCGCATGTTTGTTAACCCCTTCAAAGAACTCTAATAGATTAGTAAGACATGACTTTCCTTTACAGAAACCATGTTGACTTTTGTCCAACAAATTATGTTCTTCTACATGATTCACAATTTTATTCTTAACTATTGTTTCGAAGAACACCTCAGCAACCCAACACTGTGGCATTTAATTTCAAAAAGGGGAACTATGCAAAAATGAGAAGGTTAGTTAAACAGAAATTAAAAGATACAGTGACCAAAGTAAAATCCGTGCAAGCTGCATGGACACTTTTCAAAGACACCATAATAGAGGCCCAACTTAAATGTATATCCCAAGTTAAAAAACATAGTAGAAGAACTAAAAAAAGAGCTACTGTGGCTTGGCTCAACCATGTAAAAGAAGCAGTGAGAGATAAAAAGACTTCTTTTTAAAAGTGGAAGTCAAATCCCAGTGAGGTAAATAGAAAGGAGCATAAACACAGCCAAATTAAGTGTAAAAATGTAATAAGAAAAGCCAAAAAGCTGTTTGAAGAACAGCTAGCCAAAAACTTATTACATGTTTACACTTGATTTAAGTACACAAGAAGCAGGAAGCCCGCTAAACAAGCAGTGGGGCTTTGGACGATCAAGATGCTAAAGGAGCCCTCACAGATGATAGTCATAGTGGAGAAGCTAAATGAATTCTTTGCTTCAGTCTTCACGGCTGAGGATACTGGAGAGATTCCCAAACCTGAGCTATTCTTTTTAGGTGACAAATCTGAGGAATGATCCCAGATTGAGGTGTCATTAGAGGAGGGTTTGGAACAAACTGATAAACTTAACAATAACAAGTCACCAGGACCAGATGACATCACCCAAGAGTTCCGAAAGAATTCAGATGGGAAATTGCGGAACTATTCACTGTGGTTTGTAACCGAGCCTTTAAATCGGCTTCCGTACCTAATGACTGGAAGATAGCTAATATGATGCCAATATTTAAAAAGGGCTCTAGAGGTGATCCCGGCAATTACAAACCAGTACGGCTAACATCAGTACCGGGCAAATTAGCTGAAACAATAGTTAAGAATAAAATTGTCAGACACATAAATCAACATAATTTGTTGGGGGAAAGTCAACATGGTTTCTGTAAAGGGAAATCATGCCTTACTAATCCACTAGAGTTCTTTGTGGGGGTCAACAAACATGTGGACATAGGGAATCCAGTGGATATTATATACTTAGCTTTCCAGAAAGCCTTTGACAAGGTCCCTCACCAAAGGCTCTTAAGTAAAGTAAGTATTATGGGATTAGAGGGACGGTCCTTTCATGGATTAATAAAAGACAAGAAACAAAGAGTAGGAATAAATGGTCAGTTTTCCAAGTGGAGAGAGATAACTAGTGGGGTTCCCCAAGGGTCTGTCCTCAGACCAATCCTATTCAATTTATTTATAAATGATTTAGAGAAAGGGATAAACAGTAAGGTAGCAACATTTACAGATGATACCAAACTGCTCAAGGTAGTTAAGACCAAAGCAGACTGAAGAGCTTCAAAAAGATCTCACCAAACTAAGTGATTGGGCATCAAAATGGCAAATGAAATTTATTGTTGATAAATGGAAAGTAATGTCCATTGGAAAAAATAATCCCAACTATACATACAAAATGTTGGGACAATGTTGATAGTTCTCTGAAAACATCCACTCATTGCACAGCAGCAGTCAAAAAAGCAAATAGAATGTTAGGAATCGTTAAAAAAGGGATAGAGAATAAGACAGAAAATATCTTATTGCCACTATATAAAACCATGGTACGCCCACATCTTGAATACTGCATACAGATGTGATCTCCTCATCTCAAAAAATATGGCATTGGAAAAGGTTCAGAAAAGGGCAACAGAAATGATTAGGGGTTCGGAATGGGACCCATATGACGAGAAATTAAAAAGACTTGGACTTTTCAGCTTAGAAAAGAGGAGACTAAGGGGAGGGATATGAGAGAGGTCTATAAAATCATGACTGGTGTGGAAAAAGTGAACAAGGAAAAGTTATTTACTTATTCCCACAATATAAGAACTCAGGCTCACCAAATGAAATTAATAAGCAGCAGGTTTAAAACAAAATGAAGTTTTTCTTCACTCAGCACACAGTCAACCTGTGGAACTCCTTGCCAGAGGATGTTGGGAAGACTAGGACTTTAACAAGGTTCAAAAAAGAGCTAGATAGATTCATGGAGGTTAGGTCCATCAATGGCTATTAGCCAGAATGGGTAGAAATGGTGTCCCTAGCCTTCTTTTCTTTGGAGGTGGGTGACGGGAGGAATCACCAGAGGATTACCTGTTGTGTTCCCTTCCTCTGGGGCATCCGGTATTGACTACTGTCGGCAGACAGGATACTGGGCTGGATGGACTGTTAGGGTATGTCTACGCTACAGCGCTATTTTGAATTAACTTATTTTGAATTCGCTAATTCGAAATAACACATCTAGACACAAAACCGAATTCGAAATAGTGTTTTTTTAATTAGAAATAGCGCGTCCACACTGAGTGGACCCTGAATCGAAGGTAAGGCTAGCTGGAACCAGTGCCAGCAGGGCATCAGTGTCAGACTTAGTGCATTGGTCTGCTGCCTCAGGCGATCCAAGGTCTGTGCTTTAAGGGACCCGACCCCCCATCCCGGACAGACAGTTCTCAGGGTTCTCTGCTTGCTGAGGGACAGCAAAGCATTTGTGTCTCTGCATGCTCTGCCTGCCCTCACTCGGGACACCACGGCTCTCTGCAACCTGGAACCATACCTGCCCCCGGGGACTCTGCTGCATCTCGTGGACACGTTGCCGACAGCCTGGCTGCACTGTCTGCAGGCTGCCATCCGGGAGCACCATCGAGGGTGGAATAACATTGGAATAACATTCTGGAATAGCTTATTTTGAAATAACTGTGCAGTGCAGATGTAGCCTGACAGGCCTGGTGGATGACAGTGTCAGCTACGGGGTAGTTTAGCCTATAAAGTATAATTGTGTTTTGATTAATGACAACTAGAAAAAAATCAATTATAATATTTATTTGTATTGTGTTTATTTCAAACGCCAAGTAAATAATGGTAGAATTTCATTCTAGACTTCTCATTTTTCTCTATATGGAATGAGGGGAGAGGGCACCAAAGTCATAGCTTGCTGAGGGGGCCAGAAGCTCTTGGGTTGGCCCTGGGAAGCAGTAAAATCATGAGAACTAGTTAGTGCCTGTATCTTAGGCAGTGGTGTCACACATTTACCTTTAAATGCTGCCTCCTGTGGCAGCAACCAGTTAGTGGTTCTTTCCTCTTCACAGCCCCTGGGCTCAACAGCAAGGTCTTCTGGGGCCAGTCAGGGGTCTACAAGTGTGGCCTGGACTGAGAGAAACCCAGACTCCCAGTTCAATATGCCAGTGCTGCACCAAGAGCTCTGGAATCCTGCATCCCACATGGATGCGCCCAAGAAGCTCTCTCCCTCAGAGTGAGAGGAGATGGAGTTCCCAAGGCAACCTTAGCGAAAGTTTCTGCTGCACCTCCCTAGCATTAACTGCCTTCGCA